AGTGTGTGTTGTGTACATACATAGATAAGTACATATCAAGAGTTAAGGCTTGGCGCCCGTGGCTCAAGCAGCTAAGGCGCCAGCCATATACACCTGAGCTGGCAAGTTCGAATCTAGCCTGGGCCTGCCAAACAACAAGGGCGGCTGCAACTAAAAAATATCCGGGCGTTGTGGTGGGCACCTGTAGTCCCAGCTACTTGGGAGGCTGAGGCAAGAGAATTGATTGAGCCCAGGAGTTGGAGATTGCTGTGAGCTGTGATGCCACGGTACTCTACCCAGGGCGATAGCTTGAGGCTCTGTCTCAAAAAAAAAAAAAAAAAAAAAAAGAGTTAAAAACAATTTTAAACTCGTATGCTGAGGTAAAGGAGTCTGATTCAAAGTTGCCCACATGTTAACACTCATTGTAATAACTCAAGATATTTAATAATACTACAAATGCATGAGACTTCTAAGACCTGAACTATATATCTTTAAAATATTTTATTTAAAAATAAAATCTAAAATTATTGCCCATCAAAGTATGGCTAAAAAATGTGGCCACCGGTGTTTATTTCTTTCTTTTTCCCTTTCCCTTCCCTCCTTTCTTTTCATTTATCTATCTTGTAAGGGGTATCCAACTTGAAGCCCACAGGCTGCATGCTGATTTTGTGAGGATCTTTTTGCTTATCTGTGGTGTCAAATATGAATATATGCATGGACCTCTTCTCTTGCTAATCAGCTTTCAACAGTATTGTGTATTTAATGTATGGTCCAAGACAACTCTTATTTTCCCAATGTGCAGCAAAGAAAAAAAAACCACCCATAATTCTATTTATTTATTTGTTATTTTAGAGACAAGGCTTGCTGTGTTGCCCAGGTTCTTCTCAAACTCCTGGCCTCAAGTGACCCTCCTGCGTAGCTGGGATTACAGGCCCAAGCCACCACACCCAGCCTTCCATATCTATAGAGAGAATGCCTTTGGTTTGCAGCTGGAAGGATAATATTCTTTGTGGCTTAGAATCATATGATGTCGGGGTGACACCTGTGGCTCAGTGGGTAGCCAGCCCCATATACCAAGCGTGGTGGGTTCGAACCTGGCCCTGGCCAAACTGCAACAAAAAAAAATAGCCGGGCCATTGAGGCAGGTGCCTGTAGTCCCAGCTACTTGGAAGGCTGAGGCAAGAGAATCGCCTAAACCCAGGAGTTGGAGGTTGCTATGACATCACAGCACTCTACCGAGGGCAAAAAAATGAAACTCTGTCTCTAAAAAAAAAAAAAGAATCATATGATGTCTTTGCTCAAAGAGCACTGTTTCCAACAGGTTCAATTACTGGTCCTTCTAGCTCTAGTTTACAGCTACAGAGAGCTGTGATACAAAAGCAAGCTAGGTTTCAGTGCGTCGTTTAAAGCCTTGCTTTTTCTTCATCCACTTCACTCAGTTTCCCCCATTCAGTCTGAGGGTCTTGCTTTAATCCATTCTTTACCTAGACTGTAGTAAGCATTGAACACTTATGTTAATTAAGTTATTTTTCCCAACATGCCTTAATACAACGTAATGATAGTGATGATGGTAACTAACTACATGATCTTAGGACTTTCTATGTGCCAGTCCATAGCCTGTGTTCTTAAGCACTGGAAAATAAGAGAAGTCTTTAATACTCAAATTTAATTCTAACGCCTTAAATTAGAGGCAATTAGAGGGAAAATGGCACATTTTTCACTAACAAGGAATAAATAATTCAAATAAGAAATTATGTCACTTATTCAACACTATTACGGATAAGAATTCATATAAAAAAAGAATTTCTATCAGTGGAAATATTAAGCTTTGGAAGATGTAAAAAGCCTCAAGATAGAGAAGCAGTTCTCAGCCTGTGGGTCGCGACATGAGGAAGATTGGGAACCACTGATATTAAAGGGCCGCGGCATTAGGAAGGTTGAGAACCACTGATATAGAGGATTTCAGTCATCTGCTGCCTGTAGCTGTATATACTATAGAATAACTTTGTCACATGCGTTTGCCAGTATAGAGTTCAACAATCTCCTTTACCTTTCCTTTCCTTCTCTCTCTTCTTTCTTCCATTTCTTCTTTCCTTTTCCCTACCTTATGCCTAAGAACTGAAAGGCCTACGTATGGAAGGCTTCCAGAACTTGCCTATTTTTTTTATCTGTAGTTTCCCTTATTTATATCATGAGCTCAATTTTGACATGTGTGATTATAAAACCTGGAATAATTTTTAAACTTTGAAATTTTAAAAACTTAGACCATACTATCCCTATTTTAATAATACCTGTAATGGTGGGAAAAATTTTTGGTAAATTTTCTTTCCATAGTTTATATGTACTCTGATTATTTTATTTTTATTTATTTATTTTTTTGAGACAGAGTCTCACAATGTCGCCCTTGGTACAATGCCATGGTGTCACAGCTCACAGCAACCTCAAACTCTTGGGCTGAAGTGATTCTCTTGCCTCCCAAGTAGCTGGGACTACAGGCGCTGCCACAATGCCTGGCTATTTTTTGGTTGCAGTTATCATTGTTATTTAGCAGGCCCAGGGCTGGGCTCAAACCCGCCAGCTTCGGCAGTGTATGTGCTCAGCGCCCTACTCACTGAGCTACAGATGCTGAGCCTGTACTCTGATTATTATAGCCACAGGAAATAATTACACTTCTTCTCTGTGAATTCAGATTCACAGATACAGAATGCAAATCCAAATGTAAAATGTGAATTCACAACTAATAGTTTCTTTTAAATAATATGTACTAACCAAGTCTATTAAACCTACAGAGCAGTTAACATTAAAAAATGCAAAGCTTTGTCAATATTGGCTATTTCCATATGTTCCCTCATATACAATTCCTTTTTTTTATTTCTAGGGTAAAATGCATGATCATAAAGTAATACTCTATGATCACAATTCTTTCCAAAAAGAATTTACTTATGAAACTTCCCAAATGGCAAATCACCTTTAAGGTAGAATTAAAATAAGAAAAGTTTCCACTCTTAACTCCAAATTTCTCAATAATACAAGTCATTGATTAGAAAGTTGACACCCTGCCCCAGTACAGATGATGTAATAGAAACCTTTACTGGTAAAATCACTCAGAGGACATTAAACAGTCAGTAGCATCATCTTGATATTCAAAGAGACAATACATACAGTTATTAAACCAGACCTAAAGTGATAAACATACTTGCCAAATAACCTTTGACATTAAAAATAAAATCCCCTACTTTTTCATCTCACTTATTTTCAT